AAAAATAAACGCGATAATATAATATAATATAATATAATATAATATAATATAATAATAAGAACAAGTAACGCGATTTTTATAATAACTTTGATTTAGAATTCATTTTATTTTATATTTACTTTTTTTCTTCTATTTTCTTTCTTTTCCTCTCCCTTTTGTCGTCTTTTTTTTTTTTTCAATTTTACATGTATTATTAATACTACTTAGCTTTTAATATATATATATATTATATATCAATGATATTCCCTAAGGCTATCACAAAAGTGAGCAAGGGATTATCTAAATTATTATAGATAGGACGAGTATGAAGAGAGTAATAGTAGATACATATTTTTTCATTCGTCGTTCACAAATTATTGATTATGGTACCACATAGATTCTTATCGAATCTTGTTAAGCACATTCCTCTCTTGGTTACCATCAATATCAGATTTTCATCAGCTAATTGCTTAAATGATTTTTTTTTTAAAGTGAATACGAAATCAGTCGATTTTATTTCTAATCAGTTTCTTTCTTTTTGTTTTTTTTTTTCCCTCAAGGATCCTCTGAATTCTCTATTCACTCGATTATCTTATAAGATATTTGCGCAACAATTTGTTGATTAAACATTCAACGAAGATTATTATCATGATAAATAAAACTAATGAAGTGTATGCCACATGGCAATGGTTTTTCTTGGTGACTGAGTCATATGAAGCCAATGTTCTCGACTTTGATTACTTTCTGATCCTCCTGTTGATCCTGAAGCCGGTCCAACTATACAGGAACCAACTATGGCATTTCCACCGATCAGTTCACTACTGGAATCTAACACGCATACCTTTAATAACAAAACAATTATATTTGTTAATCAATATTAATGTATAAACCTATGTGTTTTTTTGTATGTTCATACGAATTTCCTGTAATTTTTTGCAATTATTATTATTTTTTTTTTTTTTTTGAAGAAGAAGAAAAATTATTATGAAATGTTGTTTAATTGTGTACAAATATAAAAAATGTTACCTCGATCGCGGATGTTGCGAGAGAACTCGAAGGAACATTAAAGGACATGGCTTCGTTCCATACAGGACTCGTCGTAGCCTTTCTAACAGCGGTTTTTTTTTTCTTCTTTATCTTTTTCTCGCCGCAAAGTAGACTAACTTTTACGAAAGGATCCAAAGTTTCTTTCTCCTAAATATTATAGATAATTTGTATTTTGTGTGTTTTTTTTTAATATTTGAAATATCTCAGAGTGTATTGGTTAATAACCGATAAGAGAAATAAATCAAAGAAAAGAAAATATTTTGTATGAAAGTTAAATTTGATTTTAGTAATATTTTCTATTATTAATATATTATTAATATATTATTAATAATATCGTAATATATTTTTTATTACGAATTTATTTTCTACCACACTAATATATAATATATTATTAATAATATCGTAATATATTTGTATATGTAACTTTATCGTACAACATTTGTATACATCGATTGTATACTCTATGGGGTTATTATTAATGATATAATAAAAATGTTCTTTTATTTTCAGGGACACAATATTTATCAATTAATTTAATAATTAATTTTGTGTGTGTTTGATTTACTCGAATCAAAAAATTAAATCTTAATAAAAAATATTGAAATAAAATAATTATTATCACACACACACACACACACACACACACACCTGCGAGGGAAATAAATTCCTTGCTTTGAGTATAACCACAGTTAACCTTTCGGCGCTTGGTAAATATGAAAGTGATAGAAGAACTTCTTGAATTTCTTCAGGTGGTTTTCTCTCGCGTTCGATCTCACCCCAAACTTCTATGGCAGATGAAGTCGGTGGTAATTCTAAGCTGTCAATCGCAATTCTAACAGATCCGACAATATCGTTTCTCGAAAAACGATCGTAATCGAATACCTGTAATTTCAAATTAATTCAATACGTTCACATATGGAAAATAACGTATTATTTAGTTAACCCTTTGAGTGTTATGCACGCATATATGCATATTGGTAAAAATGTATTACGCGTGTTTATCAATGTTAATATAAAATAATCTAATATTTTAGTTTGTATCTTGTCAAGATAAAAATAATATTATGAGAAAGAGAAAAAATATTGTAATTATTAAATATAATTTATTAATTAAAAAAATTGTGAGATAAATATAATTAAAGTAATGATAAGACATTGTAAAAAAAAACTTTCTAAGTT